ATGACCTAGCACATGTGTAGATTTGGAATCACCTTATGGAGTGAGTTCTGATAATGACAGTAGACACTGGCTCAGAGCATTATGATGTGTCAGGCACTGTTCAAAGTACTTCACAGCTAGGTCCTATTATTGTCACCATTTTGCAGATGGGGAAACTGAGGCATAAAGAGGTTAAACTGTCTTTCCAAGGGCAGTAGCTAGCAGGAAGCAGATCAAGATTGGAACCCAAGCCACCCGGCTCTGGGGTCCAGGCACTGGACTCCTATGTGCTGAAGGTTACTGAAATCATAGCTGTCATTCATCTTTTCAGGTTGTAAAGGGTGGAATATTACCTAGCCATGAAAAGGAATGAAGTACTGATACATGCTACAATGTGAATGAACTTTGGAAACATTATGCTAAGTGAAAGAAGCCAGACACAAAAGGTCTTGCGTTGTCTGGTTCCATTAATATGAAATATCCAGAGAGGCAAAGCAGATTAATGGTTTCCAGGGCCTGGGGGGAGAGGGCAATAAGGAATAACTGCTTAATGGGATATAGGGTCTTTTTGGGTGATGAAAATGTTTTAGAAGTAGATAGAAGTAGTGGGTGTACAACATTGCAAATGTACTAATAGCCACTTAATTGTTTACTTTAAAATGGTTAATGTTATGATAAGTGAATTTCACCTCAATTTTTTTTTTGAGACAGAGTCTTGCTTTGTTGCCCAAGCTGGAGTACAGTGGCATGATCTCGGTTCACTTCAACTTCCACCTCTGAAGTACCTGAGATTACAGGCATCTGCCACCACGCGTGACTAATTTTTGTCTTTTTAGTAGAGACTGGGTTTCACCCTATTGGCCAGGCTGGTCTCGAACTCCTGAGCTCAAGTGATGTGCCTGCCTTAGCCTCCTAAAGTGCTGGGATTACAGGAATGAGGCACCATGCCTGGCTCACCTTAATTTTTTTTAAAAAAGGTAGGATTGAATGCTCGGCACTCACCAACTTTCACTGTTCCTCCTTGAGGTTTTTCAACAAACAAGACGGACACTTGGGAGTTAGCATTCTGCTTGTCTTGTTCCTCCCCAGCAGGTGATTCGCCAATGGACCATTCTGATGAGCAGAAAGGAGGAAAAGGATCATTTCAGCGCCAGGCTCTTCTTAGGCAGTCTTACCTGGATTTGTTGTTCTCACCAACGCTGTAGCTTTTCTTTGTCTATTAAACCTAGATAAATACAACATCATTCTTTCCACCCCCAGCAGCCATCAGTAGAGGGGAACTGATTCCCATTCTTACAGGGGTTTCTCTTCCATGATGGGGCAAAGAGCATTTTGTAATTCCTAGCAATAGTGGAATTTTCCAAGTAAGCTGTTATTCTCTCTTTGTTGGTGGCCATAGTTCCTTTGTTTCTCCATCCTGCCTGTCCCTTAACAGGTAAACAATGGTGGTCAGTGTATTAAAGCAGTACTCTTGGTGTTTTTCTAGGTGACTGACTATAAGGCCACATCGACACAACTACACTGGAAAAGACTAAAGGGATGGGTTAACTGGAGGGTAAACTGTCTGACGAGGGTCAGAGAGCCAAGCCTGGCCTGGTGTTTCTAGATTCCTTGCTTTTGTAAGAGAGTTTTATTAGGGTTATACAGATGTGGCCATAGTTTGACAAGGAAGTAACAGATCATGACCTGTGGTACAAATTGCAAGGATACTAGCATTGTGCTGCAAGGTGGAAAAAACAAGACAAAACAAAACAGAGAACTGGAAAGAAAAAGAAACTGAGGCGTTCCCATGAAGAGAGACAAGCTGGAAATAGAGTTTGTTTTGCATCTTCTAGTTTGCACTCTGGTGCTTAGTTTACTCTGCAGTCAATTCCAATTCTGGGATAGCAGAGAGAACTGTAGATATTCCCCCTGTCTCTGAGCCGAATGCAGAGTTCAGGTTCAGCCACTTAATAACTGGAAAAAAAATGCATAGGTTGCCAACAGTCTGCTTGTTAATGTTTCTTGAAAAGAAGGAAAATCCACATTTACTTATCTCATTTTTCATGTATCAGTCATGCTTGATATTTTTATCTGTAGTAGACCATCATTTTCACAATCATGTTACTATCATAGTCATACGATTACATGTTTTTAAACACCCAAGTTAATGTTAACATTTTATGTTGTTTGTGTTTGTGATATTAATGGGAACAAAAGTGATCTTTCACATTTACAACGTGAGGCTAAGTGTTTCTATTGTTTTGTTCACTTCTATACCTGCAGTGCCTCTAGGAGTGGTTGCCCATTAGAGGCCCATTATAGGATCATATTAGGTCCTCAGTGAAAATTTGTTGAATGAATGAATAACTTCACAGAACAGGAGCTACAGCTGACAGGATGCATTTGAAAGTGTTTTATTGTCTGTATGTAAAGTTCTATAAGAATGTGAATTATCATCTTACTTTGGCACTCAAAGTTATGAAGATTGAGCTCTGTGTATTTGCTAATTATTAAAAACGATAGAACAAACCTGTGGTCTATGTGGCTAGATCCTTGAATGAGTATATATCATGCAAAATTAATTGTTTCTCAATACATTAGTGTTTTTGTAAGAGGAAACGTAATGAAAGATTTCTATAAAAACTGCAAACTGAATAAGACAAGGATTAGAGTCAATACAGCTTCAAGAAATGAGGTCATTAGTGATTGTATTAAGATGAGGTCAGGATGCCTTGTCTGGGCTTGTGCTCACCTGAATCTTTTCTCTCCAGAGCCCGACTACCCAAACCTGAAAGGAAAGTGTAATTTGGGTGATGTAGAGGGGTGGAAAAGTGATGAAAATTGAGTGCTGACTTCAACCTTCTTGGATTCCCCTAAACCCTGTCTCCTCTGGTGATAGGAAGGAAAAAAACCCTACAAGTTGGCTTGGATGGACAATCAGTAGAGCTCCAACTATGAAAGCATCTATAAAAGTTTATGTCTTATTTTAAAATGATAGAAACATTAAAAAATCCCAGCCAGGCATGGTGGCTTATGCCTGTAATCCCAGCACTTTGGGAAGCCAAGGCAGGTGGATCACTTGAAGTCTGGAGTTCAAGACCAGCCTGGCCAACATGGTGAAACCATGTCTCTACTAAAAATATAAAAATTAGCCCAGCATGGTGGCGTGTGCCTGTAATCCCAGCTACTCTGGAGGCTGAGGCACGAGAATTGCTTGAACTTGGGAGGCGCAGGTTGCAGTGAGCCAAGATTGCCCCACTGCACTCCAGCCTGGGCAACAGAGTGAGACTCAGTCTCAAAAAAAAAAAAAAGAAAAGAAAAAATTTTAAATCCAAATATGTAAGTTTAAAGAACAAGGGAAAAGGGTGGTTATATAGTGAGAAATGGAAGACAAATATGTTGACTCCTAGCATTTATACCCAAGATTTACCAATCTTATTTATTTCTCAAAGAATGTCTCTAAGAAGTTTCTCACGTAAAACAAAAACCTGTCATTAAAGCTGACATTTCCTTCTTGGTGCCAGCACAGGCAAAACCTGGTTCCCCTGCCCTGTGTACTGACTCAGTGAGGAGGCTCTCTGCTTTTTCTTTTCCTTTACTGTTAATGAATAATTTAAAAGCAGGGAAAAGGGTAGAAATTGTCCTAACCTGGAGGCAAGGCGCTAGGCGGGGAGACTTCCTCTTCATCTGAAACAAGAAATAGGAGTAAAAAGTCAAGGAGAAAAGGACTTCATCCCAAGTAACCTAAGAAAAGAAATCTGAAAAAGAAGAGGAGAAACCACACAATACACTTTCAACTGCTGAGCAAGCCTTAGAACACTTGGTACCTGAAAAGTTAAACCTGAGTATTTCAGGCAAAGAAAGAAAATAAATAAATAAAAAGTTGATAGAGTAATGTAATCCAAATGGAAGCGTAGATTTAAAAATGAAACACTGCGAGTGTTTTACGTGAGTGTAGGTCAGGAAAAAATGAATGCTAAAAATCAAACCTTGATGAAATCAATAATGGAGGTGGTTTTCAAGCTGATTTTGTAACTAAAGTGAATGACAGACATTATTCATATATCACATTCATTTGGACACAGACATAAAAGCTTATATATGTACTGTCTGAGAACTCATTTCCACCCAGAAAACCTCGTGATTAATTGCTCTTCAATATCTAAGAAACAAAAGTCAAGATAAATTAATATAAATCAATGAACTTTATAAGCATTGTTTCAACATAATATTGGTGTTGGACAATGCTGTATAATTAATATTTACCCATGTGCATTTGTGAAATTCAAAATATGTCTTTTAGCGTTTATGTGCAGAATATTTCTCCTTTGGAAAACATCTGCACTTCAAAGTTCACATTTGATTTATTTATTTTGGATAAACAATTTAGTCAGCATACATAATTGACCTAAAAACTTCAGTAGAAGGATAAATTATAAAAGGACTTGGAAGACTATCTCTATAAAAGTGATTTTTCCAGGATGGTAAGCAGATGCAACCTAACCCAACACTGTCTTAATTGGCAAAGCTTCAGTGGGCAGGAGCTTTGTGCTTTTCATAATAAAAATGCCATAAGAAAAAGAACTTCAGCATTAGTTCATGTTTCCTGTTAGCAGAGGAGGAAAACTCAACCTAGTTATGAGATCAACCACAACACAATGAAAAGCTGCACGAACTAAATAAAAATATTAGTAACAGATGATGCTGGTGTGAATAACTTCTTTTATTCTACAGCCCTATCTCCCCAGTTAGTGTTTGTATTCTCAGCTAGAAGGTTAGTTAATATGTGGTAGAATGAGGACTTATGCAAGGTAAAATGTGCATAGCATTTTACCACTATGAAAACAAGTGCAGTCCAGTTAGAATAAAACTAGCTGGACTCTAAATTACACACACCTTAATGATAAGACTCCCCATCATTTGTGCATGTAAAACATTTAATTTTAAAATGTCAATATTACAATATATAAAACAGCTATTATAAATGCACATAGTTTATTCTATAGCTGCCAGGTTTACTTTTTTAAAATTAAAAAAAATTTTTAAGGAAACTATAAGTTACACTGTGGTTAAGACTTGTATCTTCATCCTTGAAAAAGCCCACATTCTATCGCAGTGATGTATGGTCAGACTTAACAGCCCCAATTGTTAAACACCTGGGTCAAATTCATAACCAGCTTTATTGCAGAGGACCCTGTACACATTTATCAGTTCTAGTACCTTAATAGTTACCCAACAAGTCATTAACATACAGAAACATTCATCATGAGAAGCAAGAAGTACTACCCATCCCTTCTGCATTTTAGCAACTTGCTACTCCTGAGCCACAGTGCTCACATCACTGAGGTCAAAGTTCACATTTTACGTCCTTAAAGAGCCATTTGGTGTTATCTGAACCTCTGCTCTGCTCTTCCCAAAGCATAAACTAGTGTTTTTATAAATAATAAAATCTTTATACTTAAAATAGTAGAATATTTGTGAATTTACTGCCTGGACAACATAACAAGGCTCTCTCTGTAAAATAATAATAATCTTTTAAATTAGTCAGGCTTGGTGGTGTGTGCCTATAGTCTCAACCGTTTGGGAAGCTGAGGCCAAAGGGTTACTTGAGTCAAGGAGTTGGAGGCTGCAGTGAGCCATGATCACGCCACTGTACTCCAGCCTCGATGACACAGCAAGACCCTGACTCTAAAAAAACAAACAAAAGCAAACTTGTTTTTTCCATCCACCTTAGCCTCCCAAAGTGCTGGGATTACAGGCATGAGCCACTGTGTCTGGCCCAGGGATATGTTGTATTACTTTTTAATAAAATAACTAATGTTATGTATTTATAATGTATTAATATAATATAGTTATATCATTACTTCAGAATCCAATTGGTGATTCACTGGGTAATGTGGGATTTTAGATTCTTAACAGGAAGCTCGCTGTGGTCAACGAGGCTTGAAAAATGTTAGGCTGGAGTTAAATGCTTGTATATTACTGTTTTGTGTTCATGTGTTACTGCAGAATATCTGAAAGCTCTGAATGTGCAAATAATATGTCCTGGAAATGGGGGTGATAAGAAATGATATGGTCGTTAGCACCTTCCAGACTTAGTTCACTTTGAATTTTTTCTTCTGAAATTACGTACATATATTCACATTCCACAAAATTGTGCATTTGCCCAGCATAGGTATTTCTGAGCTATTAAAGAATTCTGTATTTTAGAAGACTGTGAAATTTTAAAAATTTTACATTATCAAAAATAAAATACCTTGTAATTTTCCTATATTATTATTTGCCATAGGTTTAATTCAGTATTTAGTGCTTTATTCTTGTCACCTATTCAAAGGCGTTTACTTACTGAAGTATGTAAGAATCTTGATTTAAAGTCCTGTAAGGATTAACAGAAATGAAGTTAAAATTCAATCATATCCTAGAAAGGAGCTTTCTTTATTATACGTAAACTAGAAGCTTGAAACATTTTGGGTCAAATGAACACTTTATAAAGGTTTTGTGGTGGTTTACTTTTTGTTCGTGCGCAGAGCATGATGGAACCTCGAGTTAATGATCTAGAATGCAAAATGATTGAGTATTCACATACTTTCATGAAACTAAAGTGAAGGAAAATTGTCTTTTTTTTAGTTTTGTTTTTAATTTTTTAAATTATTATTATACTTTAAGTTCTGGGGTACATGTGTGGAACAGGCGGGTTTGTTATTTAGATATGCACATGCCATGGTGCTTGGCTGCATCCATCAGCTCATCATCTACATTAGGTATTTCTCCTAATGCCAATCTTGTTTTTAAAAAATTGATTGATATGTAATAATATTTGTATATGTTTATGAGGTACATGTGATGGTTCATTACATGCATAGAATATGTAATGATGGCAGTCTGGGTTTTTTTGTTTGTTTTTTGAGACAGAGTCTCCATCTATTGTCCAGGCTGGAGTGCAGTGGTGCAATCTCAGCTCACTGCAACCTCTACCTCCCAGGTTCAAGCAATTTTCGTGCCTCAGCCTTCTGAGTAGCTGGGACTATGGACATGTGCAACCACACCTGGCTAATTTTTGTATTTTTAGTAGAAAGAGAGTTTCACCATATTGGCCAGGCTGGTCTCAAACTCCTGAGCTCAAGCAATCCTCCTGCCTCAGCCTCCCAAAGTGCTGGGATTACAGGCATGAGGAGGTACCACGCCCAGCCAGCAATGTTTTTCAGCAAAAATTTGAAAGGTGAGTAGTTTTAAAGTCTACTAATTGTTAAGACTATTTGGAAGACATGCACAATCATTTTAGACTACGAAGGAACACATATTAATGCAGTGCTTCATGATATCATGAAAGTCTTCCTCTAGATCACCCAGCAGTAATTGCAAAGAGCAATGACTTTTCAATTGACAAGCTTTGATTTATTGCACATAAATTTTTGAATTTGAGAAAGTGCTAGAAAACATAACATGAGCAAAGTTTACTGTTTCCTTTCTTTTATTTTTATTAATTAATTATTTCTTTTTTAGATGGAGTCTAGCTCTGTTGCCCAGGCTGGAGTGCAGTGGTGCCATCTTGGCTCATTGCAACCTCCGCCTCCCGGGTTCAAGCAGTTCTGCCTCAGTCACCCAATAGCTGGAAATACAGGTTCTTGCCACCGTGCTCGGCTAATTTTTGTATTTTTAGTAGAGATGGGGTTTCACCATGTTGGCCAAGCTGGTCTCAAACTCCTGAGCTCAAGTGATCTGCCTGCCTCTGCCTCCCCAAATGTTGGGATTACAGGAATAAGCCATCTCGCCCAGTCAGTTTCCTTTCTTTTAAAAGTTGCTTCAGTCCTGGCACTTTTTTTTAGATTGGGAAAGGTAGTTAAGATGTTGGGATTCTGACCTTAAATTCTCAAAAAATTGCCTGGTTGGATTTTGGTTGAGTTCGATGAGACTGAAATGTTTAGTGGTTCTTATTTGCCATAGAAACTAGGTTCTATTGCTAGGAGGCAAATGAAATATCCAGATCTTTCTGGTTGTGTCCAGTTCAACAATACGTATATGAAAGACATAGCATCTTACAAACAACATTTTCAAACAAAACACAAAATATAATATGTAAGTCATATTTCATTGTTTTTCTATTTAAAAGTGGCGATGATGAATACATAAACATCAGATTTTGACTTTTTGGAATATGACATACAGGGAAACCACAGACTCAGAACAGCAGGGCTCTCTCCCCTAGCTACCTAGAAGAGCAGTTTACCAAAGCAGAATTTTATTCATCTGTAAGTCATGGGAAAATAGCATTTGTAAGACCATAAAAATGGTTATTTAAACAACTGAAGTTCCCAGAGAAGAACTCCTAGAAAGTAGAGAAAGAACCCAGTCTTACATGGCAAGCCTGGGATTTTAGGGGAATACACATAAATACTTCGGAATGAGAGCGAGAGACTTGTAACTGAATAAAAAGCTCCAGAGATAGTAGAATGTGTAAATTCTTGTAATTATCCAAACTCTCTTGAGCATAAAATAACTCCTACCTATGGCTGCTTTTAAATTGCCTTTTAAAATTATTTAAGCAATATGAACTTGAGACAATTGTTGAGATTTAAGAATAAAGAACAAAAGCTTATAAAATTCAAATATATGTGACTTGTAAACAAACGGTTAAATGCTGATACAATACCTTGTTTGATTGAGACAAATTCATGAATTCCTCAAGCAGAGTAATCAGTTGCAGTACATACTGGTGTTTGTGACCAAAATAACAACAGCAATAAAATATGGGAGACAATAACAATAGCTAACATTAATTCATTATGTTTTGAGGCATTTGGTTAATTTATTGCATTTCCTTAATGAGATGATACATGCCTTCACACTTTGATGCTTATAAAACCATGATTTATCCTACAATAAATAGGTACATTTAGTGAATTTTTTCTTCCCAAAATCTATTAATCTTGCCTCATAATGGCTGTGTCTTCAAATCGAAAAGTGTGGTGATACTAATTTTTAACAAAGTTCATTACAAAGAAGTGATGTAATTAGAATACATAGATCAAGCCTGGAGAAATTTTAGTAGATGGTTGATTGACACCTAAAGGTAAATTGTACAAAAATATTTTAGCATGCTAGTACAAAGCGCCAGGGTAATATTATTGCAGATGTAAAAGAACCTAATTTTTTTTAAAAAAAATTCCTTTAACTTAAAATCACATCATTCAGGAGAAAGTGTGTTGGAGCTGCTGCTGATTCACTTCCTCATCTGCCAATCACATTCATACAAAAAGAAGACTTCATCACAGGTTATGTGAGATATTTAATACACATAGGGTTCATTCATGATAGTTTATATGGTGAATGCCTGGGAAAAGAAAATAAGGTTTTATTTACCTTTTAGTGATTACCAAAAGCAGTAATAAAAAAGTCAGTTACTTTACCAATTGAGCTTACAAAAAAAAAAAGAGATATAGACTCTAAGCTAATATCATGTAAAAACAAAATACCAGTACTTGGCATGGAAATGAGTACTGGTCTTTAAAGTGGTCTCTGTTTCTAATGCTGCTGTCACTTTTGGGACCAGCCACAGACCAGTTTCGGAGCTTTCCACAGGGCCAGCTGTTGAGGCACAGCAGAAACCTACTCTAATTACCCTGTGTTCAGACATAGGATGTCGGATCTTAGTTGATAGAAAAAAAAGTATGATCCCACTTGATCACCCACATTATTCTCTACACATGGTCCTCTGTGACTCTTGTCTGCTTCCAAAACTGAAATCCACCTTCCTCTGTTGATGGTAGTTCTTCCCCCTAAAGTGTAACTTGGCTCCAGGAGGGCAGGACCCAGTGCCCAGATCTGTGCCTGGCATGTGACCAACACTCAGCAAATCTTGCTGAATAAATATGTGCTAGAATAAAAGGTGGATCTTTGACCCCACTGAACATACAGAAAAGAACCTATACTTAGCATTCCATTGATTTGCTACCTGTAATTATTGTGAAAGAATTCTAAGCCAGGGCAGCATTATTTTTATAAGGGCATTGCCTCCTAGTATGATTACCCTGAAGGGGATCTGCACGTCTAATTTCTGCTATTGCTGTTTGGCTAGACACATTTCTTTATTGTCATCTCCCTTGTTTCAATTTCAGGAGACTTTGCCCAGGTCCCAGGACAAAGTGGTCAGTATTAAGGAACAGGATAGCTGGATAGATAGCCACGTGCAAACAAGCAAGAAAGCAAACAAACAATAATAAAACCCTTTGCTGGGAAATCGGCTGCTTTCCAGAGATTTTTAGTAAATCTGAAAAAGTCGGCAAATCTAACCACAAACCCTACTTCTAAGATTAATATCAGAATCAAACAACTCTCTGCAGCTTAAAAAAACATTTTTAGAAAGTTTCTAAGCTGTTGCAGAATGATTCAATCAATCTGGGAATGATGTTAAGGCTGCATTGTGATGAATAATATTCCTAATAGTGACAGATTTGGAGCAATTAATTGAATATATGTCATCTAATTAAATAGAAGACCAGTTCAAGTGTTGAAAATGTACTAAAAGCCAGGCATGACCATTTTCAGTAGCTTTAGGCAAGTTGGTCTTACAGTGGAAATCATCCATCTGTTCTGCAGCAGTGCCTCATTCCAGACCCTCAGTGACTAAGAATGTACATAGGATGTTCATCCTACCCAGCACACGTGTTGAATGGAAAAAAAAAACCTATCCAGATTACCACTGAACGGTCACCAGGTAAGCCATTCAACTGCTCATTCATTTTGCAAGCATTTATTAGATGATTACTATGTGCAGCTCTCTGCCAGATGCTGGAGGGAATAAGATGAGGGAGCCAGTGTCAAGAAGCTTACAACCTGCTAGGGAAAGGAGTCAACCATTAAGGCGTGATTACATGGAAACACGAGTGATTAAATGAAGGAGGCAATAGGTCCAGGAGAAATCAGGAGAAAGAAGAGGAGTTAAAAGTGAGCCAGGATGGTCAGGGGAAAACTGTATAAAGGAGTGAAACCTGAATTTAATGATTAAAAAAAATTAGATACACTGGCAGTTGGAGGAGGGAGGGAGAGCAGGGGAGTTCTAGTTCATGCTGGAGAAAAAGTAGGTTGCACCCATCAATCCTGTTTATGCCCGCACAGGGCTCCTTTCTCAACCAGGAATATACATGTAGAAGTAATTATTATGTCTACTTTTTGCTTAAGTATTTTATTTGCAATTTCTCTGTCCTTGACGAAAGTGGGTGATAGTTGAAGAGGACTGTATATTTATAATAAACTTCCATCCATTTACCTTCTTTGTTTAGGGATGTGACTTTCTATCCTGAATTGATTTGCTTCCTAGGCATGTAAGACAAATACATACATATACAGGTATTTGTTTATATATGTACATCTACACACACACACACACACACACACGTGGCAGTTTATGTACCTGGGCATGTGACTGCATGTGATCATGGTCTTGCTTATCTTCTGCAAATGTCAGAAAAATGCTACTAATTTCAAAATGCCCACGTCATCTAGCCTTGCTCTTTCATGCTGTATTCTCCATAGATAAAAGAGTTTTTGTTGGTTGGTTGGTTGGCTTTAAGGAAAGGCATTTTCTCATTTAAACATACAAGTATAATATGGTGACTTTTCAGATTAAGGGTCAGGCACCAGCTTTGTTTAAACTTTGACAGCTTGCCCTCTGGGATTACATCATTTGCTCTGTTTGTTGAGCCTTGCAGCCTGGCCCAAACACCTTTCCAAATTTGGAAACAGAGGTGTATGCCATGGCTTTGTAGAGAATAATGTTACAATAATTTCAGCCAGGATGTCCAAACCTCCTTGAAACCATCCCATGGAAGGAGTTCTAGGAGGTTGCACTGTCTGCATTCCATAAGCAAATAACCTTCAAACTGTGGCCCACGTGGCCAGGATTAGTATTCATGTTACTCTCCATGGGAGCCACTGAAGGTCAAGGACAAATTAAGTATACTAACACTATGCATTCATTATGAGAGCGTAAGTTCAAGTTAGCTGAAGAAAAGTAATCCAATGTACTGAAAGAAAGAAAAAAGTATTTTACTAATGTGTAGGAGACAAGAATATCATATAAATTAGATAATGAAATATGATACAGCAAGAACAAAGAGATACTTAACATGCTTTTGAGCAGTGTCCAGGAAAAAGAGAAACTTCTTGTTGCAGTCAGAAAATAATGATTCCAAAATTTAGACTTTGTTATTCATTGTGCAAATAAAAGGTTTACTTTTATAATGACAGTACAAACATATAAAGCAAAACTGTCTAATCCACCTTCATGAAAACTTCCCCCTGTGGAAGACTAACGCTCTTTAGCTTAAGACAGATGGTCAGTAATGATAATCATTTCCTCCATGGTGAGACAAAGGAATTAGTATTTCATGGAGTAACAGAAGTATATGAGCAAGATTATTTTCTAAAATGAGACTATCTCCATATAAAGTAAAAATAAGATAATATTACAGGAATAAATTGGTTTCCAATTCAAGAAGGAGCAACATAACATTTGCTTAATGTTATACTGTGAATGTGTGTAAATCATTACATAAATCTACACGAATACATAGTGTTACAAAGTGAGATGCTAGCCTTTAAAGTTACTAGTGAAACCTGGAACAGTTCACACAGTAACATGAAAACAATCCATTTTTTAAAAAATCTAGTTAATTCAGATAAGTTTCCCAATTAATATACTCCCAAGAAGATAACAAACACGTCTTTTTCTTAGCATGCACATTGAAACTTGGAAACTACCAATTAGTTTTCTGGCATCTCAACAAGTGCTTGTGATATTTTTATCATTGTTTTTCTTTTAGAAATATATGTAATGGAAACTTAGCAACACACCATTTGTCATTATACTGGTCTTGCAGATAAGATGCAAAGGCAGAACTCTAAACCACGTTGATGAAAGACATTCTATGGGGCCACCATGGCATCATTACTGACCTCTTTCTGCTTCTAATTTTGTTGAATTCAGCCTCGCTCTCCCTCCCTCCAACTCACCTTTTGCTGGTGTAGTTCCGGCCTCTTTCTCTTTACTTGGTTCTGTGTAGAAAGTACAAGCATATTTTTTAAAGTGTCTTAAAGCATTTTATTGTGTGATGAGCAACGAGGTGGAGAGGGGGAGGGAAGAAATAAACGACAACAGAACAGGTCATAAATGATACTGAATACTCGTGCTCTACAGGAATTATAAGTTTAGAAATTATAATTTAGAGTCACAATAAACTTTTAGTGAAAAACAATCTGATCATTTTTGGAAAAGTACACATAAGAATACTCAATACATATTTTGTTAAAATACACTCAGCTATGCTTGGATTATGTTATATAACATGCTGGAGTAGAATTGAGCAAAAAAATGTAAGCCACTTTATTTTAGACCTCAACAAGGGGCTGACTTTTTAAAAGAAAAGTCAGTTTGCCCCATGTAATGATTCTAAATATGTAATTGTGTGCAGTGTATGTTACTTCAAAGAAAATGTTTCAGTGTCCAAGTGAATCTTCTGGATTGGGTTTAGTGGCAATAAATGCAAAACAAGAGCAGTAACATCAGATTCCATCAGTTGAGACCATCTAGTTTGCATTTCTCTGTGTTTGGAATCATATTAGTTTAGATCTGCAAATGGTATCTGACTTGTGGTATATGTAAGAAAAGAATTGTTTCAAGAATGAATTCTCTTTTTTTGGACTGATAAATAGAGATTTGAATCTCAGTTAACTAAGAAGGACAATTTTAGCAGAGTTTGGGCAGAGACATTTGAGCAAGAGGAAGTCAGTATTGTGCAATGAATATGAAATATGGCATAAAAAGGAAACAATGGAGGCTCAGTGGCAGCAACTAATCTGGAAAACAGAAGGGAAAGGTCTGCTTGTAATGGCCAGTAGTAGGTTCTCAGTGTACTCAATGCTGGTCAAGTAAATTTGTTACAGGCAAGGAGAAAACATACCAAGGAAGAGGAAGATCCTAAGAAGAATGTCAAACATCTACACTAGTTTCAAGATCAACATCTAAAGAAAATAAATCTGAGCTTGCCCCTGTTTGAACTCATATGGCTCTGAACCAGTTTTGTTCGTTTTGACACATAGTAATACTTTTCTATACTCTTTAGGGTTTGAGTGTGTGAAGTATTCTTGGCTAGACAAAGGGCCTCTTGTGAGAGAGAGAGATTTCTCAAACTGCCCTCCTGAAAAACACTCTGCTTGAGCCCAGGAGTTTGAGGCTGTGGTGAGCTGTGATGGTGCCACTGCACTCCAGAACAAGACCCTGTCTCAAAAAAGAGAAAGAAAGAAAAAAGAAAAAATGACTTCCAGGGAGGAAAGCTTTATAATTGCCTCATCAGTTTTTGTGTGAAAAGATAATTAGAAACTGAGACCTTTTCCAACTCCTGCTTTCACCTAAGCTGAACCAGATCTGCAGTGACCTGCTGGCTTCATGCCACATTGCCAGTTTAAGCAGCCCACAAATAATCACATACTGCTTGGTGAGGGGGTGGGGGATGGTGGTCTTATAATATTGCCTAGTGTTTTGATGTTGTGGTTGCATTTTATTTAATTGTTCCCCAGGCTGTATTCTAGTTTCCACTTGGCTGCAAACAAACTTGAATACAGGAAAATGTTTTCTGTGTAGAGTTCCCCACTACGTCTGGTATAATATGCTTGTACTTAGATATCAATATGTATATGGTAGGTATTTCTGAATCCTTCTGAAGGGTTATGTCAGAGTTGTGTACAGGGTAAATACCTAGTGAATAATTATAGAATGGATGACAGTTTCTCACCCTTTTCAAGGAGAAAGAGGGATGAGAAAGGCCACTTTGGAGTCTTTATAGGAAAATGCACATGATTTTGGTTGCTTCCTTCTTGGGACTATTTGGCAGATAAATGACTCCGAAAAGACATGTTGGGAATTTAAGCTACGTTGAGCTTTCAGTCTTCCAATCCTCTTCTCTTCTTTAAGTATAAGTGGACATAAAAGCAAGCTTCACATACCATGTGTCACAGGGGACTGCCCCACCTGCCAAGGGTCTCACTGGATCTCTGTGCTCGTTTTCTGTTGCCAGCTGCTGGACAATATGGCACTAAGAACTCAAGAAATTGGTCTCATATTGAACCTCAGAGGCCACCAAACCTTTCTGGAAAGTCCCTAGGGAGTTTCTGGAGGTGCTCAGTAGTGACATATTTCAAGTTGAGAAGGGGCAGCTGATCTTCCAGGGTAGAGATGGGCCCACTCCCCACTCTCATAAAGAAGATGTGGGTTCATTTGATCTTTATTATATGGGAAAAAGCCTCACAAATTCTTCAGCCCCTTGGATGGAGGCTCAGCCTCCAGGCTGTAAAATGTAGACATAATAACTTCTACATAACTCGAAAGGTTTCATAAGATATCTCCCCCTAATATATATGAAGTGCCATCCAAATTAGATTAACACAAGAGGATTGTATAAACACAATGTATTATTTTTGTTATTACCAACTTATCACAATGGTCACCATCCAGCTTCTCAGTAGAAGTTAGGTTAAAGCTCACAGCTCACAGCACCCATGGAGGCCAAATCATGCTGGGATGGATGTTCTGTATTTGCAGTGCAAACATGTGTGAAGCAGTGTTTTTACTCACCTTCTGGGGGCGGGGCTGGGGCTGGTACTTCATTTTCTAGAAATGGAAAGAATCATGGAATCGTTAGGCTCATTTATCACAGAGAACTGTTTTCCACAGTCCCATCTCACCTGTGTGTACTCACAAGAGGGATGGAGCAGGAAAACACATCTCTCTCTTTCTCTCTCTCTCTCTCCACACACACACACACACACACACACACACACACACACACCCTGCTGCATCAAGAGGCCCAAGACATGCTGCCATTTGTGCGTGGTATTATATATAGATTTCCAGGAGGTGACATAGTGTAGTGATGGAAAGATAGAGGTAGAATGGGGATCCGAGCGTCCTTGCCATTTAGTTATCCCCTCCAGAGGCAGGCCGGGCATTTAACTGTGCTGAGCCCGTTTTCCTGCCTCTAGAGAAATGGCTGCAACACCAATCATACATGGGCAGGACTACTGTTATGATGAAGTGAAACACAGTGGGTAGCAAGTATATGGCGAGCATATCCCATAGAGTCTAAGGTAAGGTCAGAGCAGAAATGAGACCCCCTTTTCCCAGAAAGCAAGAGCACCCCTGCATCTCCAACACTGTTCAGCTGCATGAGACACTTTCCGAACCAAGATGACATCAAAGTCCTCTGGCTTTGCAGCACTTCGTTGTTGTTGTTGTTTTACAAGGAAGGTGCAGTTCACTGGGAAACAGAATTAGGCCCTCTCACAGTCATTTCTGGAAGCATATGTGTTTGGAGTAGATTCCCACCTACACTTATTCAAAATTTTCCAAGCTCTGGTTTTGAGGTTTTGGTTTACCCGGCTTCGGATGTCTGGTTATTACAGAGCACTCTGGCTATAAAGTCTGACAAAGAAACTTTTGTTAAAGAATATACTATTTCCAAGTAGCTACAGGCATCCCCATGAACAAAGAGCATAGCATTTCTCCTGCCAAATCCCTGTGGATGCTCAGAACTGGGAATTAGTGACATGTGAGTATCACCCACTCATGAACCAGCTGCTTCATCTCCAGGACAAGAAGAGGCAATTAATGAAGGTGATCACTTTTAAAATTATTTTCTACTGGATTACTAAATAAAATATCAAGATAGCAAAGTTTTTGTATTACAGGGACATTGTGGAATCCTGGGAGCCTTTGTCAGTGTATGGGATTTCCACATTTTTTTTCTACAAGTGACTCTTGATGAGCAGGGAGAACAAGGCTCAAAATGAGCAGTTTGGCAGAACAGTCACCACTATGTGTAGGCCAACTGCCCTGTTTTAATCAAGGGAGGCTGGAATGAGCATAGAAAAATGAATGGATTTCACCGTAACAGAAATCAAGAAGAGAGTAATGCAGGCCTGCCAGGATGCAATAATGTCTTTTTCCATCACTCATTTTGTGACTGGTATAAACTCCAATGTGTTTTTTAAAAAACTTTTTAGGCCAGGTGCGGTGGCTCACGGCTGTAATCCCAGCACTTTGGGAGGCTGAGGTGGGCGGATCACAAGGTCAGGAGTTCGAGATCAGCCTGACCAACATGGTGAAACCCTGTCTGTACTAAAAATACAAAAATTAGCCAGATGTGGTGGCACATGCCTGTAATCCCAGCTACTCAGGAGGCTGAGGCAGGAGAATTGCTTGAACCTGAGGCAGAGGTTGCAGTGAGCTGTGATTGAGCCATTGCACTCCAGCCTGGGCAACAGAGTGAGACTCCATCTCAAAAACAAAACAAAACCAAACTTTTTATTCAGATGGCCATAAATAAGTATATTACTATTTACTAGTGAGGGAGAAAATATATATATAACCAAAGGACAAAAAAGTAACCTTATATAGGGAGAAGAAAACATGGCAGGGTGTGATATAATTTGCAGATACAGTGAAAACACAAATGTCCCTTGGATGGCTTTCTCAGAAATGTTTTTGTTTCATCACTACATCATGGAAAGAGTCACCTGTGTAATCATCAACCAAAGCACGAAACTGTCAGTCAAAGCATTTTATTTTCAGAGATCTGAGTGCAGAAATGGAAATCCAATATTGCCCTCTTGGCTTTGAATAAGTTGTTGCAGCACACAGATATCAGAATACTGAGAGCAAGATGCGAGTTTCTTTGACCCTCTATCTTTCAGACTGGGCCATTGCCATGCCCTGCCCGAGGACTTCTTCCTGGCTCTGACCACAGAAAAATTTCTCATCCCTCCAGTCTCCTTTCCTCATAGCTGCAGAAGTTATTTATCCTACAACGGTGTTTCATCCCATTATTCTACTTGAGAGGGTTTCTATTACTATTTGGTTAGGTCTACACTCTCCAGGTTTGCATTCAAAGCCATTGTTGGTGGGTACTTCCTTCTCTCTCTTCTTTTACTACGTTTCAATGGCCCCTCTGTTC